GTTATCTTATTTACCAATATTTTGCTTAATGCAACAGTTTGACAACAGCGCCACCTAGTCAAATTGAAAAACGTTTTTGTATATTTGTAGTTTGGCTTTGTTTAAAAAACACTTTATCAACAATTGCATTTTATTTTGCAATATATTGCGTTAAAACTTAAAGTAACTTTACATGATAGCAGTAGACTAAAATTAGTAAAGATTGTCTCGGTTTTGCTTAAAGACAGCTAAAAGTTTGGCTATTGAGGCATTTAAATTGCCGTTGTTGTGAATAAAAGGTTAAACACTTCAGATGTTTTATTTCAGTTGGAAGTTCACTTTTTGTCATGTAAAGGACTTCAACTTCTTTGCCACTTTATGTTTAACAGCGGTGGCACGGTAGGTCATGGCTTGCTCCAACAACAAGAAGGTCGCTGGTTGAGTCCCGGCTGGGCCAGTTGGCATTTGTGTGTGGAGTTTGCATGTTCTCTGTTGGCGTGGGTTTCCTCTGGGTGGTTCGTTTTCCCATTTTTACAGTTATTATTTATTGAGTTAAAGTTATGCAATATATATGAACGCCTGGTTTCATATTTAATGGAGTAAAGGTGAAGTATTTTGTGGGATGGCGGAGGTTCCTGTGGTCTGTCTCTATTGATATATTTGTGTAATGTAATCTAGAGCCACACGGAGGGTCGGGCTGGATAATCTTAGAGCTGAAGGAGAACTTGAGTCCTGGGTTGAGCGTTCAGAGAAATAACAGCACTGTGACTCTGCAGGTTTATGAGGAAAAGCACAGGTTGTTTGGGACAGTTTTTGGTGGTTGGTTTTGGGTGAGGGTGTGGAGTGTGGCTTTAAATCGTGGCATCTCTCCCATCATGCCTCGGTTTCTATAGCAACTTTGTTTCAGTGGTACATTGTGCTCTGAAATTTGTCCATGGTTCTTGTCTGATCCGTCTATTTCAGGCCTTGGAGTCTCTGCTAATGAGCTGATGAGTTGAACCAAATGTGTTTATTGGGCTTTTCACATTTCTTTGAAGCTAAAAGGTCAGTAGTTGGATAAACAGACACTCAACAAATTATTATTGTGTTTTTGCTTTCTCATTTGCTTTAATAGCTAAATACAAATAAATAAATCTAATCAGTGATGGCATTTAATTAACTTTGGGGAAAAATACAAGTAATAGTTTAGATTGGACTGTAAGTACTGTATTTAGACAAGTTTGGCTCTTAGCTATTGCATCAGACTGTAAACATTTATTAATTTTCCTTTGACGTAGTCCCTTTATTCATCAGTGGTCACCACAGCAGAATGAACCGACAACTATTCCAGCAAATGTCTTTTTTATTTATTTATTTTTGGCCTTTTTGCCTTTATTAAGTGGATAGGACCTTATTTTAGACCACAATCGAAGTGGGAAAGAGTATTTGAACTCAGGATGCCCTGAAGTGCTACTGCACAATATGTCCGCGCACTAACCACTAAGCTATTGTGCCGACTTCCAGCATATGTTTTACACAGAAGATGCCCTACCAGCTGCAACCCTGTACTGGTAAACACCAATACACTTTAGACTGTGGGGAAAACCGAAACACCCAGAGGAAATCACACGCCAACACTGCGCTTAGAAATTTGGGCATTTTTTAACAGGCCAAATTAGAAAAGTTGTTTGTATATAGTAATACCCTCCCCCCACCTCCCCCCAAAAATAGAGGGAGTAGGAGATTGATAGAATAATACAATTGTGATTTTTAATAAGTTGCAATGTTAACCAAAGTAATGCACAAATAGTATTTTAAGTCTACAGAAATGTATAAAAGTGTAACATAAAATTACTACACTATAAAATATGCAATGATGAAAAGTCAAGACAACAAATATCTTTGTTACTTCACCTTATTTTAGTAAGTTAATCTGGTTTCAATTAAATTGTGTAACTTATACCAAGTTTCACCTGATATTTTAATCAGTTTGATTGATGTAAGTTGAGATAACTAGAAAAAGGTAATTTGATTCAACTAAAACATTTAAGGGCTCTATTTTAATGATCTGAGCACAAAGTCTAAAGCGCATAGTGCTTATTTTAAGGACGGAAAAATCCACTCTGCAGCGCATGGTCTTAGGGTGCTTTCACACCTACACTTTTGTTTCGGAACGTGTCTCGATTGCCCAGTTAGCGCGGTTCGTTTGGCATATGTGAACAGGGCAATCGTGCTCTGTTCCGCACCAAAGTAATCACTCTGAGATCACTTGAATGAGGTGGTCTCGGCTCGATTGAAACGAACCCTGGAGCGGTTTGATTGCAGTGAGAAAGCGATCCGATTCGAGCGCGGTTATATCACAGTGTTTTATGGATATGTAATAGGCTTACGGCTATATGAAGAGAGAATTATGAGTAGGGCGGGAAGTTTCGCGAGTCTCCGGATGCCCGCAAACGAGTGATGATCTCCTGGTAATCTCGCATCTTTTATTGTGGCGGGTGCATGATAGGGCACTAAAGGTTGGTTTAAGCGAACAGTGTAATGGAACAACTATTGTTTAACTGATACATAATTTCAGACTCTTCTTAGTGTGTTTGTTGAGTTTAGAGTGAGACATTCACATTTATTTTTTGCTTTCTTTCTTGTAAAGTTATTATATTTAGGTATATTTTTTACCAAGTTATTTTATTCTTTAAATTTCCTGAATGTACACTGTAAAAAACATGTCCCAACACAAATCGATTAAGTTAACATAACAAATTCATTCGGATTGTACATAAAAGAATTAAGTTGTCCCAAAGAAATCTCAAGAATTGTGTTGTTTCAGCTCATTTTAATTAAGTAGTTTGAACAAGCTGCAAATAAAAAAAAAAAAATCCTGAATGTGTAATGCTCAGTGTGTGTGTGTGTGTGTGTGAGGTAGAGGTGTTGTGTTTCTGTGCAATGTTGTCAGTTTGACCCTTGAGCCGGAGCTTCTGATTGGCTGCTGGTGTTGAAAGTGTTAGGAAAGTGTCTCCGTATAAGGAAAGGAGTCGCCACAGGAAGACTCTTCTTCTTGAGATTGGAGCACCTGCATCAAGACAGTAAGCAATGGCTTTTTACTGAGATAGTCAATAATGGGTGATTGCTTTCAGACGCAGTCTTGATGTAGGAGTTGATTGGTTATTGGACTCTTAGTTGCATCAGATGATGGAGGAATAGAGTTTGTCATAGTTCTTTGGATGGCTAATGCATCTTTTTGGGTGGTTGGATTGGTTTGTCTGGGATTGTTTGTGTTGGGTGATGTGGTGGATTGGTTTAAGCTCAAAGCTGGCAGACAGAGATCTTCACAAAAGATGCAAAACATCTGAAATAGTAGCTTCTTGTAAAACATGATAATTGTTGTTTGCTTCCAATTTGGAAACAAATGAGCTGTGTATTAATCTTACAAAGTAGTTTACTGGGGATCAGAATTTCAACTGGCACTGTTGGATAGTAATGATATTCATTCATTCATTTTCTTTTCAGCTTAATCCCCTATAGTAATAATATTTAAGTCTTATTTGAAAGCAATAATTGAACAATTGATATATAAAATATAAACATTTTAATAATTTCTTAAAATATAAAATTACAACTACAAGTTACATAAAAAAATTATGTTAAAATTGCATTTTATTTTTTATTCTATGGTAAAATTTAGAGGAAAAATGTCTACTATTATTTATGAAAAAATATCATGCAGTTATGACATACACACTTACAAATTTTAGAAAAAAGCTCGAGTTGTGTGATGTGAACTTGCAATTGTGAGAAAATAAAAACATCAGAAACTGAAAGAGTAGTTTTATGAAGAATTGCAAATTAAAAAGTCATAATTATCTTAATCTTTTTTTGTTTGTAAAGTCAGAATTCTGTTAAACAAATTTAACTTTAACAAACTCTGATGAACTTATATGTTGCAGTTGCGATAATGTCCAAATTTGAAAATAAAAGTTTGGATAGTGAGAAATGAACTTTCAATTGCGATAAAAACATAAAATAAAACATCAGAAACTGAAATAGTCAATTCTTACTTTAAGATAAAACTAAGTTTATATCCTGGATTTACAAGCTACAAACTTATTTTTGAGAAAAGTTTTGAGGAAAAAAAGTCTCAAATATCGTTTCAGCTTTAATATTTAATTGTGTGTTGGAAACCAGCATTCATATTGATCAGTGACCCCATCATGCGTGTCTGTATGAGTGTTTGCTGTAGCATACTCAGATCCGCGGCTGCTGGTTGGTGTAATAAAGATATCAGAAACCTAAAGAGTAATCTTTTGGTAGAATTGTGAATTAAAAAGTCATAATTATCTTTAAATGTTTTGTTTGTAAATTCAGAATCCTGTTAAGCAAGTTTTACTTTAATAAATGAAATGAATTTATATGTTACAGTTGCGACAAACAAAAGTCCAGATTAAAGAAAACAGCTTGAATTATGAGAAATGAACTTGCAAATTTAACAAAATAAAAACATCATAAACTGAAATAGTCATTGTAATTATCTTTAAATTGTTTTGTCTATAAACACAGAATTCTGTTAAAAAAATTCTACGTTAAGATAACTAAGAAACTACGTTTATATCCTGCATTTACGAGCTACAAATTTATTTTTGAGAAAAGTTTTGAGAAAATCTTAAACCTCAAATATCGTTTCAGCTTTTATATTTAATTGTGCGTCGGAAACAGGCTTTCATAGTGATCAGTGACCCCATCATGCGTGTCTGTATGAGTGTTTTCTGTAGCATATTCAGATCCGCGGCTGCTAGTTGGTGTCCGGGAGCCGTTTTTTTAATATCTGCGTCCAGCGACCCCAGATTTTTGCCCTAGTGCAAACACAAGTTGATGCAACCCGTCTCCTTATCTCCAACTCATTTCTGGAAGCCCGTGTGCCCATCAGTGACGCAGGTGGGAGGGGGGGAGAGGGGGTGGGGTTTAGCACTGGTGCCGGATAATTCAAGCATTCTGATTGGCTGATGTCGGCCCTCCCAATGCTCTTTAAATCTGCCAGTCACCTCCAGGGCTAAAAAGAAACTCATCAGAGTTCAGCAACTAGTGTTCAGCGTCAGTCCGGCTCTCATAGTGAGTAAAAACATGTTATTATTACATTTTAATGGGGTAACAGCTAGAGTAAATGTTTAAGAGTGTGTGCATTTGGTTGTTTGGTGATAGTGGATTATGGTGTACGCTCTCATAGTGAGTAAAAAACACATTATTATTATATTATAATGGGGTAACAGCTGAGAAAATGTCTAAGAGTGTGTGCATTTGGTTGTTTGGTGATAGTGCTTTATAGTCTAGACGCTCATAGTAAGTAAAAATCACATTATTATTATATTATAATGGGGTAACAGCTGAGAAAATGTTTAAGAGTGTGTGCATTTGGTTGTTTGGTGATAGTGCTTTATAGTCTAGACGCTCATAGTGAGTAAAAATCACATTATTATTATATTATAATGGGTTTACAGCTGAGAAGATTTATAAAGTGTGTAGATTTGGTTGTTTGGCGCTAGTGGTCTATATTGTAAGCCTTCATAGTGAGTAAAAACACATTATTACATTATAATGGAGTTCACAGCTAGACTGGTGCAAGAGGTTTATGGTGTAAGCATATATGTGTACTGTATGTGTGTGTGTGTGTGGTCTGTGTTAGTCCAAGCCAGCTTGTTGAAGAATGCTGGTTGAAGCACAAACACAGACATTCTCTTTGAAGAGCGAGTGTTTCTCGTCGTAAAACACTCCAGCTGCTTGGAGATTTTCACCACAGAGACTTGTCAACAGCAAAAAAAAAATTGCTGTAGAGGCTATTTTAGCTTTGAAATTGCTTGTTAATTTCACAATTGCTTAAAGAAACGGCTAAACACTGCACTAAACAGGCGACTTTGAAGCAGAAATAGTGAAATTACACACTGTGTAACTTGGATTGGTTAAAAAAAAAGAGATCAGAAAGATTTTAGTTGCACTTTTTGTTTAATTGTTTAATTTTTTTAAGGATTGCTAAAGGCTTGTGAAGATCTAGAAGAAATGCTTAATCATTATTATCTGATTAGTTCTCAGTGTAACTTAGATTGGTTAAAAAAGTCATTTAATAATGTGTTCGTTTAACTGTTTAACTGTTTCCGACTGCAATCTAAAAGCTTGTGAAGATCCAGAGGAAACGCTTGATTATTATCCGAATAGTTCTCCATTTAATGTCTTTATTTGTATTGTATTTTTCCAGTCATGCGTACTGTAGTAAAAGTCAGAGAGAGAGCCTCAAATAAACCCTAACTGTGCTGGTGTTAAAGGTGTGTTTTGGTCGTGTTTGGGTTTGTTTGAGGCTGCTTATCTCAGGTTAGTCTGGTTTTACGGGGTGGGAGTTTGTTCTGAAACGTTATGTTCCTAGAAGCCACAGCAACAGTGCAGAAAGTTCATTCATGCTAGCGTCGAGTTTTTGTCAGTTAGCCGATGGAAAAAATGAGGAATACGTTATATATCAATGGATATTCACTCAAAAAATTGTTCAAATACTTATTTAAAATGAGCTGAAACAACTCAATTCTAGAGTTTACTTGGGATAGCTTAATTGTTTAATGATTAATTCACTTAAATTTATAAAAACAATTAAGTTAACAAATCGATTTGTGTTGAGATAACATAAAGGAATTGTGTGGAACCCAGCATTATTACAGTCCACATATTCATGAAGCAATGGCTGTTTTTGATAACCCTGTAAAAGGTCCTTCATTAATTCCATTGTTTTTATTTCAGCTTGACGAACACGAAGCATCAGATTATTCATATCAGAAATGAAAAAGCTTCACATTGACTTACTCCAAACAGTCGAACTATGATTATAGAACTGACTAACTCTAATTTGTGATTGCATGAGCTGTATGTTGTAAGCAGCTATAGTTAAGATTTTTAAATATATATATATATATATATATATATTGGCAGAAGTGCTTTTTGATTATTATTGTTAATAATTGTCATTTAAACATTGATGTTTTAGGGATGCACCTAATTTTCAGCCACAGAAAATGGCATTTTGCTTTTTGGATAAAACCAGACAAAAAAACATGAACCTGAAAAAAAGGTTATCATTGTGCGCTCTGAATTTAGTTAGCTAAATTATTTGTAGTGCATGTGTGTGAGTGAGTGTGTATAGATGTTTCCCAGTGATGGGTTGCAGCTGGAAGGGCATGCACTGCGTAAAACATATGCTGGATAAGTGGGCGGTTCATTCCGCTGTGGCGACCCCTGATTAATAAAGGGACTAAGCCGAAATGAAAATGAATGAATGACAGTGCGGGCTGAATGGGCTTTCACACTGGACACAGAAATCGCTGTGCTATGAAGCTCATTTACTTTAATGATGCTGAAGCACAAGAACAGTGCACCGATGATTGTGCATACGTCATTTTTACCGTTCAAAATTCTACTTATGTTCATGTGTAAAAATAATGTGCAGACAGGACATTCTTTGTAGTATACTTGTTTCTGTTGTTAACAATAGTGCTGTCATGGCAATGCTGGTAAAATGAGTTTCGCCTCGTGAATGGTCAATAAAATTTTACTGCCAATAAAATGTGGTTATTTTATTGGTTGGTGTTATTTTAAGTAGTGTAATTTAATTTATTGCATTACATTTCAAAAGTCTTGCAAAATTACATTGTATTGTTCAATCAAATAATACATAACAATCATTACAAAGTGTTTTCAGTTTTGATTTTAGCCACTGAATTTTTCATTTATCTTCAGTATCCCTTGTTTTAGTGTTTTATATTGCTGTCGCCATTGTTTGAACTGAAACTCTTATGGTCCAAGAAGAAAGTTCTAGAAAACTTTCTCTAATGTTCACATTAGGTTGTGGAAACGGTATTTTTATGCAAACATTACTGCGAAATGTTCTCTCAATGTTCTAAACAAATAGTAACGTTAAAAAACATCAAAGGACATTCTTTTAGAATACTTCAGAGTTAAACATTCTAAACATGATGTATAATGGATTCAAGAACACAGACCAGATCACTTAAAGCGTGTGTGTCCACAGAATCGCGAGCGCTGTTCTGAAAACGGGTGTAGTAATGAGCAAACAAAGTATAAAGGCAGAACATTTCATAGATAAAATTTAGTTTTCTTGTGATTTTTGTATGTTATGAACTCTTGTGCTCCATATTATTGATGATAATACAGTCACTACTGCACTGACCATAAAGCAAGGTAGCACCAACTTGCACTATATTCTAGGCTTATGCTAGTTTTGTTGAATAAAATCAGCAAACAATGTAAATTAAATATGACAACAAGATGCTGTGGTGCTAGAAACGTACTATTATTGGCTAAGTGAAGTAACGGCTAGATTTTGAAGTAACTTATAAGAGTGTCTGATAACATAACAGTACCTGCGCCTCAATGTGCATACTGTCCATCCTAAATTATTGAATATTACTAATGTTATATACCATTCAGATCAGAAAAATGGATGTGAGACATAGGGATATCGATGGTTCACATGAGTCGTTCATAACAGAGATTCATTCACAAACGAATCGATCCCTTGACGCATTACTTCCAATAGGCAACAACAGCGAAGGCGACATCTAATGTAAATATCTATTTTCCGTTACAAGTTGAAAGTGTTTATCAGATTGTGTGTTGACAGTTGGGTGGTATTGTCCCCCCCCCCCCCTCCTCCACTGTGATTGGACAGCTAGTTCAAAAGTGACATTGATTGACGCTGCATATTTCAACTTGCAATGCTAAAAAAATGCTGAGGGATCAGTGCTGACCTTAAAAGTCAGAGTCATTGTCACGCTGCAGGTGCTTAAAAAGTGTGGCTCTACCATTGACAACAACAGAAAACAAATGCACAGCTCTAGAATAAACTCTTCTGTGGACTCACACATCACTTCAGAATGTTCTCTATATGTTTCTAAACAAACATCAAAGAACGTCTGTTCTAAACGAGCAGAACATTCCAAAAATGATGTTTAATTGATTTAAGAACAGAGACCAGATCACTATAAAAGTGTGCGTTTACCAAAAATGTGTTTTTGCAGCACAGTGTGTTTTATTTTTTCAGCGGGTTGCGAGAGTATTGCCGCTGTACCATTACAAGCTGAGAGTCTTTTTATTTGTTTGTTAGTCATATTATTTGTTGACAGTTGCGTGGTATCTGTCCTCTGTGATTGGACGGCTAGCTCAAAAGTGTTACGAATGATCGCTGCATTGTTATATTATATCACAATAATCAATATATCGACTTATTATGCAAAACTTGCAGATGACCTCAATCAGTTTGCCATTGCGATTATATATTTGCAAATTCACAAATAAGGTTATGGGCGACACGGTGGCTGAGTGGTTAGCACTGTCACAGCAAGAAGATTGCTGGTTCGAGTCCCAGCTGGGTCAGTTGGCATTTCGGTGTGGAGTTTGCATGTTCTCCGTGTGTTGGCGTCGGTTTCCTCTGGGTGTTCCGGTTTCCCCCACCAGTGTCAAAGTTTATAATTGGGCATTTACCTTATACGACATTCAATAGTATTTATAATAAGACATTTACCTTCTTAACATCAAATGATATAGTCTAAATACCCTTAAGAATAAGTATTTTAAAGTGCTTATATCTAATTGCATTATTATGCTGTTATATAATCTGTGGGCGGCACGGTGTCTATCTGCTGTGTCGCCTCACAGCAAGAAGATGACTGGTTTGGGCCCCGGCTGGGTGTGGAGTTTGCATGTTCTCCCCGTGTTCGTGTGGGCTTTCTCCGGTGCTCCCTTGCAAGTCCAAAAACATAAGTTCGAGGTGAATTGGGTAAGCTAAATTGTCTGTAGTGTATGTGTATATATCCTGGTCCTCCAGGTTTGGGGTTATAATACACCAACATGGTGCAGCTAAATATCAACTTCGATATAAACGGCCCTGGGAGTAATTGAAATCAAAATGGCAATATTATCTCAAGAGTATCGCAACAATTTCTGTGACAATATATCGCACAACAATAATTTTCTCATAGTAACAAGCCTACTTGCAATCGCTGACAAAAGATGTTGAGTGCTCAAAAATCACGGCGACACCATCGACAACAGAAAACAAACGTTTAGCTTGAGGAAAATACTGTCTGTGGACTCGCAGCCTCATGAAAACGTCACTTCGGAATGTTCTCTGAATGTTCTAAACATTTTTTAAAAACATCAAAGAACGTCATTTCTAAAAGGAACACATTCCAAAAATGATGTATTATAGAATCACTTTAAATCAATGTTTCATTAATGTTACCATAAATAACCTTCCTAGAACGTTCCCAGTGTAAAAGCGGTCTGGTGTGAGAATCCAGTAAATGTGTCGCACTTTTAGTCCTGTAGGCCAAAACGAGCGCTGTGGAAGATTTTCAGCTTTCCATGAGTCTATAGTTCAGTGGCCTCTCTGGCCGCGTTTATGAATCCTATCAATGAGGGCTTTGTGTGGGTGAAGTGGAGGATTGTGGGTAATTGGGTGTAAGAATGGTTTGGCGGTGTTTTGGCTTATAAACTGGCTCATCTAAGCCTTATGTAATGTTCTCTGTCTCTTTGGGGATGGTTATTGCTGGAAATTGCTGACCTGAGGCCAGTGCGTGTTGTGTGCTCATAACAGGTGTGTGTTTGAGCAGCTCTAAACGCTTCTGATTCCAGCGCTCATGCGTCACGGAGTGGATCAGACGCACAGATACATGAGTCCTCAACCCAAACATTCAACAAACAGCCTTTATGGAGAGCTGGAGCAAACCAGCAGCTCTCCACTGGAATAAATTGTGAATTGGGCAATGGTTGGTGACGTGATTGTGATGATAAAATCCGACAGTCACTTAAACTGAGTTAGTGGTTACAGATCTGAGACTGGAGGCTCAAAGCTCCAAGAACATGCAGTGAAGCGTGCTGTACGTTTGCTGAAGAAAGGGCTTTCTGTATGAGGATTAATCTTATTATTTGTCAGCCTTTTTTTTGGCTACTCTTACCTGATGAAGTTTAATTATTAACATAATAATCTTTAGATGTCTCATGTTAAAGCAAAACAAGCGTGCTTAAACATCAAAAGAAAATGTGTATTACACATTGTTGTTATTTATTTATTTATATTATGTATTGTTATTATTTGAAATAAAAAATATTAAAATATTTAGCTGAAAAAAAACTAATCTAAACTAACAAAATCTTACTGTTGTAATTTAAAGTCGGGTCGAATATGGACAAAGCCAACTGTTGGGTTAAAAACTGCAATGTACATTTAATAGAACATTTTTTTTTTATCCAACATTGTGTTTGACCATATTTAACCCAATGTTGGTTTGCAACAACCCAGCATTTATTAAAGTGGGTATTTAAAAAAAAGATGTATTGCATTTAATATAGAAATGATATGCAAAGAAATTTAATTAATAATAAAAAACAGATGATTAAGAATTATTTTTTTGTTGTTGAATGATATACTGCAGAAGCCAACTGTTGGGTTAAAAACTTCAATGCTTATTTAATAGAAAAAGAATTGTATCCAACATTGGGTTTGACTATACTTAACCCAATGTTGGGTTGCAACAACCCAGAATTTTGAATGTAGATATAATGTAGAATTTATAATGCATGTAGAAAAAATGATTTATTACATCTAAACTAGAATTTATATGTCAAGAAATGTATTTAAATAATAATTTTTTTATTTATTTATATATATATATATATATATATATATATATATATATATATATATTTTTTTTTTTTTTTTACGATTAAGGATAAACATTTTTGGTTAAATGATATGCAATAGCTCAGTTAAACTGTAAAGATGTTTTATATGGGTATTTATATATAGTGCACATGTTCACAGGTTAAACTTGTAAATAAATATGACTGTTACTTGATGCATTTTTAACCACCATTTCAATGTACTTTTTTGTTTTCGTTTAGTTCATAAAATGTCTAAAAGCATGGCTTAATTTGTGGATCTTTGGAATTGGAGGATGTTTTCCACAAGTTCTGTGGTGCTGCATTGCTGATCTGTGTTCATTGATCACTGCTGAAACGCATGTTGGAAATCAAAAGCAGTCCTTGGGCACAGAACCAACAAAACGTCAATAATTATATCTTTTAAACATTTATCTTTGTTTGATTTTTTCCGGACAAACTTCAAATGACTTAATAAGATGAACCCAGAAACACTGTTATATAATATCATATCAGTTCATTTAAGGAATCGCTTACAGAATTTATTATTATTATTATTATTTTTGCTGAAAACTAAACAAAGAACCACCTGACAATTATTATTTCACAACAACCCAGTGAATTACATACTTAAAAAATGTGTTTCACTAATTATATTTTAAATAAAGTGGGTTTTAAATGTTTTTATTACACTAAATATATATATATATATATATATATATATATATATATATATATATATATATATATATATATATATATATTGCTAAAAAAAATTGTGAATAACCATTACAAATTTTTAAATAGCCATATAAACCTTACTAGCTTATGATAATCCAGTGAATTAAATATTTTATAGGTGCTTTATTATTTAGATTTTGAGTAAAACGGGCTTTATATCATGAAACTAAACCTATTTGTTAGATTTTTTTTTTTGCTGGAAAAATATAATAAAAATAAAATAACCATGTGGCAATGCTTACTTTAAGATTCACAATAATTAAATACTTAAAATGTGCTTCATTATTTAGATTTTAATAAATAAAACATGTTATGAATCTTAAAATATTTGTCTTGGGGTTTCTTTGCTGGAAAAAAATAAGTATAATAAATGTCAAATAACCATGTTGCAATGCTTATTTCAAGATACTGCAGTAAATTAAACACTAAAAATGTGCTTCATTAGTTAGATATTAAAATAAAACCGGCATAAAGTATAAGCATAGTATATTTATTTTTACATTTGAACTCAACCTTGAAATTGGTGGAATAAAACAACAGGATATCGTTTACCATGGTAAAACTGGAAGAGGTCAGATTTGTTTTGTGTTTTGAGTTTATATTGATTCGTTTATCACCACAAGTTCAGACGTTCAGTCAATACCTTTGGCTCCAACTCTTGTTGTGCTGAACAGGATCAAGGTCGCTGCTCATAAACACAAGTAGTTAACCTGCCACAATGTAGACGCATTTACATTTACAAAAAAGTCTTAATGTATACATGAAGAATCTCCTTTTATTATTGATTCCAAACTAATAATCTGTGGTTTCGTTTCCAGTAGTTTTCCCCGAGGCATAACCCGAATAAACAGCTGTAAAGATGGAGCGAATGGAGCTGAAGAAAGTGAGCGCAGAGATGGAGGATGAGAGCAGTGTGGACGACAGCTACAGAGAGAACATGGACTCTGAAAAGGCCACAATCAACAGGTCAGAGTCTTTGCACTGTGTGTTTAACCCTGAAGCTGTCTGATACACACACACACACACACAGAACACTGTGACACAGGAATCAGGAGTGTATCTTTAACAGCAAACTAATGTGAGTGTAAAATAACGTGTGTGTGTGTGTGTGTGTGTGTTTGTGTGTGTTGTGCTTTACAGCCAGTTCCTGGATGAAGATGATGCAGAGAGTCAGAAGTTTCTCACCAATGGCTTGATGAAGAAGAAGAAATATGAGGAATATAATGAAGAATATGTAAGACTTTACTTCTGAAACACATTCATTATGTTCATGACACCCCTCACTCCACCATACCTGATTCTGATTGCTCAATAATGACATTATAATGTATGCTATTCATTGTTTATATATTTCTCAGGTGCTGATCTTTTTATAAACACATTTTTAAGCATACATTTAATAACTAATTTCTAATGTGATGACAGTGCATGATATTTTACTAGCTATTCTGCAAGATACTAGTATTCAGCTGAAAGTGACTTTTAAAGGCTTAACTAGGTCCATCTTTTTGCATGGTTTACACTTAATTAAAGAGCTAGTAAATGATTACAGCTCAGATTAATGTTTTGTGTCTAATAGTTTTTTGTAATAATCAGTATAATGCACATCCAGTCGGTTGTTATCACAGAATAAACCCTTCAGTCCTACATAACAGCCCATGATAAACCTGTCAGGCTTTATTCCTCTAGATCAGCTGTCTGCATGTGCATTATTCCTTGCTTTTGCTCTAGTTCCTTCACTGATGAAGCGTCTCTTTTGTTCTCGCAGCACCCAGGTCATGCTTCCTTTGGCATGTCTGTCTTTAACCTCAGTAACGCCATCATGGGCAGTGGGATCCTGGGCCTGTCCTTCGCCATGGCCAACACCGGCATCATCCTGTTTGTGTGAGTGTTTGCCAACATTTCCCACATTACTAGAGCTCATCTGCATGAGTTCAGCCAGTCATAACACAGATCCTGGAATGCAGATACCAGAACGACCGCATTTGGAGTGTCATTTCTGATCTGTCTATCTGCTTCTTTCTATTTATCTACATCTATCGTAGTTATTTTGTGCTTTTTTATTATTTTAGGACAAGTGTAAAGTGATTAAGTAAAATTGCAACACTGGCAACAAAAAGAAATCACACATACATTATCTGTCTAACTACCTGTCTGTCTGTCTGTCCATCTGTCTGTCTATCTAACTACCTGTCTGCCTGTCAAACTACCTGTCTGTCTGTCTGTCTATCTACCTGTCTGTCCGTCTGTCTATCTATCTGTCTGTCTATCTAACTACCTGTCTGTCTTTTCTATCTAACTACCTGTCTGTCGATCTGTCTATCTACCTATCTGTCTGTCTGTCTAACTACCTGTCTCTCCGTCTGTCTATCTATCAGTCTGTCTATCTAACTACCTGTCTGTCTGTCTGTCTATCTATCTACCTGTCTGCCTGTCTGTCTGTCTGTCTAACTACCTGCCTGTCCGTCTTTTCTATCTAACTACCTGTCTGTCTGTCTGTCTATCTGTCTGTCTGTCTGTCTGTCTAACTACCTGTCTGTCCGTCTGTCTATCTATCTACCTGTCTGTCCGTCTGTTTGTCTAACTACCTGTCTTTCTGTCTGTCTGTCTGTCTATCTATCTATCTATCTACCTGCCTGTCTGTCTGTCTAACTACCTGCCTGTCCATCTTTTCTATCTAACTACCTGTCTGTCTGTCTGTCTTTCTGTTTGTCTGTCTGTCTATCTATCTACCTGTCTGTCTGTCTGTCTGTTTGTCTGTCTGTCTAACTACCTGTCTGTCCGTCTGTCTATCTATCTACCTGTCTGTCCGTCTGTCTGTCTGTCTGTCTGTCTGTCTAACTACCTGTCTGTCTGTCTGTCTGTCCATCTGTCTAACTACCTGTCTGTCTGTCTATCTAACTACCTGTCTGTCTGTCTGTTTGTCTGTCTGTCTGTCTGTCTGTCCATCTGTCTAACTACCTGTCTGTCTGTCTGTCTGTCTGTCCGTCTATTTAACTACCTGTCTGTCTGTCTGTCTATCTCGTGTGTGTGATTTAGAATAATAGCATTTTAATATATTATTTTTTTACTGCTTATGTATTCTCAGATTAAATCAAATATTATATCTCACCCTAACCTATGGACTTTATTAATATAACATTAATATTATAATATTCTACAATTTTTTAAATAATAATTAAAGTAAGATTAATATAATAATATATAATTATAATTTAATGGTAAATATAAATAAATAATTTAAAAATTCATTAATTAATTTATTCATTCATTTTCCTTCAGCTTAATCCCTTGTTCATCGCCACAGCGGAGTGAACCGCCATTCAATATAACTATATTTAATAAATATTGTAAATCAAAAATGTTGCTCTTTGCAATAATGATCCATTAGTTAATGTTAGTTTAATGTGTTTACTAACATCAACAAAGAATGAACAATACATGTAGAGCATTTCTTTATAATTATATTAATAATAGAAAACATTTACTAATGCATTATTAAAATACAAATTATTAACATTAAGTTATGCAGTGTGAGTTAACAATAACTAACAATGAATGACTTTATTTTCATGAACTAACATAAAGAAAATGTGTAATAAATACAGTATTGTTCATTTTTGTACATTAGTACATACATTAACTAACATTAAATAATGTGTTGATGGCATTAAATGATGAATCTACATAAGTAAGTGTCTGTAATAGTTTTAAAGGAGAGTACTGACGTGTGCAGTGAATGCAGAACTTCCAGAAAGCCCTTGAGACACTGTTATCAGGGAATGCAGAGCAGACGCCGGTGTGTCAGGGACTGCAGGACATGCTCAACTGCACATAACACTAATCAACTGTGTACGCCTATATTTAGCCCTGTGTCAGCCATTTACTGAGGGGTTAAAACATATGTGTGTGTGTGTGTGTGTGTGTGTTTGATCCACTTGATCATTTCTGGGGACAGATATGAACCCAAAAGGGACCAAAAACATTAATATTTTCAAAAACGTCTCTTTGGGGACACTCTTATGTGTAAATGTGTGTTTGTTGTTGTTGAGAGTGATAGCTGTAGGTTATGAAATATATAACTATCTCTATATAAAGACAATAGAAGACTGTTTAGTGTTCATGTTTAGAGAGTTAAGTAATGGGAGTGTGTGTGTGTGTGTACAGTATGTGTTTGTGTGTGTGTGCAGTATGTCTGTCTTTGTGTCTGTTTATTTGTGTGTCTCTGTCTCTGTGGTGTGTGTGTCTGCTTCTGTGTGAAAGTGAGTCTAAATGTGTGTATGTGAGTGTCTGTGTGCTTATATGTGTGTGTTTGTGACTGTGTATATATGTGTCTGACGTGTTTGTGTGTGTGTGTACAGTTTGTCTGTTTCTATGTACTGTGTGTAATTTGTGTGTCTGTGTTTCTGTTCATGTGTGAATGTCAGTGTCTGCATGCATTTCCGTGTGTGTGTGTGTCTTTTTCTGCATGCGTGTGTGTGACTGACAGCAGTCAGCTGTGTTCGGCTGCAGCTCCACTGTCCGCCATCGCAGGAGGAATGACACACACACACACACACACCTACAGCACCAAGCGTCACCTGAGGGGTGTTCAGGCCAGCGTGTCTCCTTCATTCTCCAGTGAGGGTGTCAGATGGTTATTTCTGGTCTGTGCGCTGCAGGAGGCTGGTGTCCGATGACCCAACCACCATTAACCCATTTTCTCCATGCATCATTCTGTCATTTAGTCCGTCTCTGCAGCTGAAACTCGCTCAGACGCAGCAGGGGCTTATGGGTAGTAAGGGTGAGCCGTAGCTGGTTTGTCCCTGTTGATCCAGACCGGGTCATAAATGTGCTGAAACCTGAAAAACCTGGTGCTCACCAGAGCAACACATGTGCTGACTATTATCACCAGCAGAGGGGGCTGTCAGCACTCTAGGCTTTTTCAACCGTACTATAGTAAAGTGTATTTTACTTCAGTTTATTTACATTTATTTTTGTTTATTCATGTTTATATGCTTATTTAATACTCATTGTAAATAAATGAACTCATTTACTGTAGTATTAACTATAGTGAACTCATAAACTGTAAAACTGTAGTATATTTCAGTTTTACTACAGTAAACTATGCTGTATTGTAGTATAATATACCCTATAGTTGTAGAAAACTGTAGTATTGGTATGACTACATTATTGGGCAGGGTTTACATCCACTGTGCAAAAAACTTATGCTGGATAAGTTGGCGGTTCATTCCGCTGTGGCGACCCCTGATGAATAAAGGGACTAAGCTGAAGGACAATGAATATATGAATATTTCATGTGAAAAACCTGGTCATTCTGGAAGCATTAGCATTGTTAACACACACACACACACACACACACACACACACACACACACACAGAAGCACACACACTTTTGTTTTTGTGAAAAGTGGGTACAAAACAACAATCACAGAAGACAGTGTGCAGCTTTACTCTCTGATTAAACTCATCCAGTGTGATTTATAAGCTTTCGGAGAAATGAGGACGTCACCAATGTCCTCATATTTCGAGAGGGGTCTGGCTGCAGACTCAATCTGAGCTGCATCCAATGCTTTTTAATGAGCTCACCTAACCCCACCCCTAACCCTACCCATCACAGTGATGTCACTTGCTTCATTGAGTGCATTGAGTCTGACATTGCATAGCTGAGTGATGCAATCTCAGCTTGCATCATAAAGGCTGCATTCCGATACTATTTCACCTTCTTTTTGTAATACCTGTGTCATACCATTGTCATTATACAGATTTGTATCCTGATATGTCACAAAAACACGTACACACACACACACACACACACACACACACACTTCTATATATTTGTAAATGGCCTCTGCATTTAAAAAACTGCTTCAAAAATGAACCTCACCCCATGTTGCTTAACAGGGAATATTAGACGATACAAAATAAAGTCTTTCAGAAATAAATAAATAACATGACATTTTATACATATGTATTATTTTATGCTTATATTTTTGAGTACATTAATCGTTCACTATCAGCATGTGAACCCATTTATCAAAGTTTCTCTCTTGTTTTCCCAGAATCCTCCTGCTGGGAGTCGCTATCCTCTCGCTATACTCTGTTCATCTCTTATTAGTGACGGCCAAAGAAGGAGGTGAGTTTGTCCACAGATCACACACACACACACACACACACACACACACACACACACACACACACACACACACACACACACACACATATATACACAGCTGAAGTCAGAATCATTAGCCACCCTTTGAATTATTATTATTTTTTTTTTTATATTTCCCAAATGATGTTGAACAGAGCAAGGAAATTTTCACAGTATGTCTGATAATATTTTTTATTCTGAAGAAAGTCTTATTTGTATTATTTTTGGCTAGAATAAAAGCAGTTTTTAATTTATTAAACACCATTTTAAGGTCAATATTATTAGCCCCTTTAAGCTATATATTTTTTTCGATAGTCTACAGAACCAACCACTGTTATACAATAACCTGCCTAGTTAACCTAATTAACCTAGTTAAGCCTTTAAATGTCACTTTAAGCTGTATAGAAGTGCCTTGACGTATATCTAGTCTAATATTATTTACTGTCATCATGGCAAAGATAAAACAGATCAGTTATTAGAAATGAGTTATTAACACTTTTATGTTTAGAAATGTGCTGAAAAAATCTGCTCCATTAAACAGAAATTGGGGAAAACATAAACAAGGGAGCTAATAATTCAGGGTGGCTTTTAATTCTTACTTCAGCTGTATATATATTAATATCAAACATATTAATAATCGATATGTTCTCTCACTACAGGCTCGCTGATCTACGAGAAGCTTGGAGAAAGAGCGTTTGGATGGCCTGGAAAAATGGCAGCTTTCGGGTCTATAACTCTGCAGAACATAGGAGGTAAATAATTTAGCTTTTTTTTAGCATGAGTGATGTTATGTGATGAGGAATTTTCCTTATTTTAAAGTATTTCCCGAGTGATGTTTAATAGAGCAGCAGATTTTTCTTCTGGGTTTATTATTTATTTATTAGCTCCCTTTAATGTTTGGGAATTGTCTCCAGAACAAACTTCTGTTGTCCAGTGACTTGCCTAGTTAACCTAATAAACATAGTTAAGCCTTTAAATGAGGTTTATTTATGAACTCATTTCGAGAGGAGCACGCGCACGCCCTTATGATTGATAGCAGCTGATCCTCATTAGCTAACGCATGATTCACCAATCAGACGATTCCTAAATCACTGTAAATAACCAGAGTATCTTACATTAGCCATCTTCATCTTGAAGACTCCTCCCTTTCACCCCTACTCCTCCCATTTCCTTGTCAGAGCAGCACGGAGGCCCAATGGTTAGCATCATTCCCTCACAGCAAGAATGTCACTGGCTCAGATCTTACCTGGCCAAATCAGCATTTCTGTGTGGAGTTTGCATGTTCTCCCCATGTTCGCGTGGGTTTTCCAATTGACAACATAGACAAGCGTTGAATCCAGTATTCACACTCTATAGCATTCATAATCTGCATCTACTATTATCAAGCAGGGGAGTTCTCGAGACCTACCTGAGCTCAAACTCCCCTCTCGCCCTGCAACAGGGGGGAGCCCCGGGCTCGAGGATCTCACAAGCTCAGGGCTCTCCCCCGGGACAGCATGCCAAACAGGCTTTACAATCAATTATCAGCTAAGGGCGAACTATTGAAATGTCACTGAATACTACTATCTTGCAAAATATCTAGTCAAATATGTGCTGTCATCATGGAAAATTAATATTAAATTTTATTTACTAATAAAAAAAATTGTGTGAATAATTGTGTTTACTTTGTTTCGTTTGTCTTCAGCCATGTCCAGCTACCTTTTCATAGTCAAATATGAGCTGCCGGAGGTGATACGAGCTTTCCTCGGACTGGAGGAGAGTTCTGGGTAATGAGTGTTTATGATTATTCAGATTTACCAAGTCCTAATTATACAATTGAGTAATGTTTTGTCTGTGTTTGTGTGTGCAGTTAATGGTATCTGAATGGGAATTGTGTGGTGGTGTAATTACTGTAGTATACTTTAGTTTTACTACATTAAGCTGTGGTGTATTGTAGTATAATCCACCCTATAGTTGTAGTAAACTAGAGTATTGCATCACTTGTTTATATTAATAAGGTTGATGTGTTACCATAGCAACTATAGAAATACCACAACAGATCAATCACTATAGTTGATGTGTTACCGTAGGAACTGTAGAAAGTCCACAACAGATCAATTACTATAGTTGTTGTGTTACCATAGCAACTGTAGAATCACCACAACAGATCAATCACTATAGTTGATATGTTACCGTAGCAACTGTAGAAAGTCCACAACAGATCAATTACTATAGTTGAGGAGTTACCATAGCAACTGTAGAATCACCACAACAGACCAAATACTATAGTTGAGGAGTTACCATAGCAACTGTAGAATCACCACGACAGACCAAATACTATAGTCAATGTGTTACAGTAGCAACTGTAGAATTACCACAAAAGATCAATTACTATAGTTGATGTGTTACCGTAGCAACTGTAGAAAGTCCACAATAGATCAAGTACAATAGTCAATGTGTTACCATAGCAAGTGTAGAATCAGCAAAAGATCAGTTACTATGGTCGATGTGTTACAGTATCAACTGTTGAATCACCACAACAGATCAATCACTATAGTTGATGTGTTACAGTAGCAACTGTAGAATCACCACAATAGTACTTTACTATAGTATAGATAAAATATTACTACAGTATTTTTCAGCAATTGTGAGATTGCTTGAACTGTGCGAGAGTTCTGGGTAATGAGTGTTTATGATTAGTGGGATTAATCAAGTCCTAATTATACAGTGTGATGTTCTGATCATTTGTCTGTGTGTGTGCAGTGAATGGTATCTGAATGGGAATTATGTGGTGGTGCTGGTGTCCATCGGCATCATTTTACCTCTATCTCTGCTGAAAAACCTGGGTGAGTCCTGCGTTAGAGCAACAGAGAAAGTTTGTGAGGGTGTTTGTGATGTGTCTCTGAATGTTTGCCGTGTCCTACAGGGTATCTGGGCTACACCAGCGGCTTCTCTCTCTCCTGTATGGTCTTCTTCCTGGGAGTGGTACGTTTACTGATGCTGATTCACTTTATTTGCTTCGCTTTTAGTTCTTAAATGCCCTACTACGTGTTTTAAATTTTCTTTTATGTTATTCAGAATTTTTTTAATTATTTTAATCATGAACTGATTTTTTATTTGATGTGTGAGATAATAAAATAAACTAAAATATAGTTTTTATTCATAATTTTTTTAAATTTTAAAAATAATTTTCCAACTAGTATAGTAATGAAACAGCTTGTCTTTTTATTCTATCTGCAATAAACTTACCTGTGAGCAATTGCTGTTATGCATTTGATATATTTTTATAATTGCATATATTTGTCATAATGCAGCATATTTCATCACTGAATCTAACTGTCATTTGCGTTTCTTTTAGTTGTTTCTAACTGAATTCATGTTGTATTTGTCAGCTGATCTACAAGAAGACGATCCTGCCGTGTCCTCTTCCATTCTTCTTCGAGCACGGCTCAAACGTTAGCATAAATGGATCGGATGCGATAGCTCTGTACGGACTGCACAACGCCTCGGCTCTGGCGTACATGTCAGAAACGGCTGCAAACGCCGTGGATCCACACACACCGCTCCACGACTCGGTGCAGTTCAGCGCTCACCCGGAGGACCACCAGGACATGTGCACGCCCAAATACTTCATCTTCAACTCACAGGTTAATACACAGATGATGAGGATAATGAGTGTGTGTTGTTTAGTTGAAGTCACAATTATCAGCCCTTCTTCATTTTCTTTCCAATGTTTCCCAAATGATGTTGAACAGATTCAGGAATATTTCACAGTATTTCCTATAACATTTGTTCTTCTGGAGAAAGTCTGATTTGTTTTATTTTGGCTAGAATAAAAGCAGTTCTTAATTTTTTAAAGCCATTTTTAAAGCCTGAAGCATAGCAATACAGTACATTTTAATGTTGTGTGGACATTTTTTTGCAACCCAGGCTCATTGTGGAAACGTAGTCCCGCGGACGTTTCTGGAGACCGCGGAATACGTCCCGGCGGGTACGTACGGCTGCACTGTTTGTTTTTGCGAGTCCGCGAGAGGCCGCTGTTGTGTGATTTTTCTCATCTTGAACGTCTCTCGCGAGTGCGGTTCGCGCCCGCGCTGTTCTCGCGTCAACCCGCCAGAGGCCGCTGTCCGACTGACCGGATGATTGACTGCGCGACCAGCCAATCGGCTGACCGCCCTCCTCTTTCCCTGAACCCAACCAATTTTACCGATTGACCCGCCCGCCCGCTCGCTTCCCCTAAACCCGAGCAACAGTTTACAAAAGCCGTCCAAAAAAAGAAAAGCCCTGATTTTTTTTTCTACCGTGTTTTTGGATTTCACCGCGTTCTCACCCTGTTATGAAACTCGTTCACTTAATTTTTGGGATCCTGTTTTTGTCTTACCTGATTGCTGGAACTGCTCTTCCCCGGACTCGAAACCGATCGATCGCCGTGGTCAACTCCTCCTCTCTGCATCTCGAGCCTGCCGACGTACACGGTGAGCTGAGTGGACAAACGGGTTGCAGCGGGAAAGCCCTCCACAAGGAGGTAAGCGGTCGGCCGGCAAGCGCGAAAGGGAACAGCGTCACACCGCCCCGCAGCGTTCGCTTGAAAAAAATAAATGCAGCCGTACGTACCTCCCGGGACGTATTCCGCTGTCTCCAGAAACGTCCACGGGACTACGTTTTCAGAATGAGCTTGGGTTGTTTTTTTGGTTCCCATGATATAAATGGCTCTTAAATGAAGTGCTTTGCAAATGTAAAAAGGCAGATTGTTAGCTGTGTGTGTTGAGTTTTGGGGTTGAGGACTGAATATACAGCATGTACAGTAGAAGCATGATTACAGATATGGGGAGAGCACTTGTTTGTGTGTGTGTGAATGTGAGAAGAGCCTGATTGTGTTTGTTCTCTTTGTTTTTCAGACCGTTTACACTGTTCCCATCCTCGCCTTCGCATTTGTGTGTCATCCTGAAGTTCTGCCTATCTACAGTGAACTGAAGAAGTGAGATTATTATTATTATTAATAGTTTAGGTATTAGTAGTGTAGTAGTAGTTGTATTGTCCTGTAATAAATTTGGTTTATATTGTTTAGAATTATTATATCTCTCAAAGATGGGTTGTGGCTGGAAGGGCATCCGCTGCGTAAAAACATGCTGGATAAGTTGGCGGTTCATTCCGCTGTGGCGACCCCAGATTAATAACAGGACTAAGCCAAAAAGAAAATGAATGAATGAATAATTATTACATATCCTTAAAATAATTATAATTATCAGGCCTTGACATTAACTATTCTGATCACCAGCCACTGCGACTAGCAGTTTTTCAGCGCCATTTTCACTTGCCACAGTTTTGTTGTTGGAAATGTCTTTATATGCACAAATTTGACTTTGACATGCTAAAAAGACTAGATTTAAATGTTGTGTTATATTCATTCAACTTTTATTTGTGTGATGTGTTTGATCTTGCTCAATAAGCATGAGCAAATGGTGGCTTCAGTGTCATGTTGCAATTAGTTTTATTACACAAGGCTTCAGTCAACACTAAGGATTTACCTGTTTTTTCTCTGGCCAGCATCAAACTAATTATTTCCTTGCCACAAATTGTAAACAATGTGTCAAAACAAGCAAAATATAGCGGTATACTAAACTAAACATACGTTTTATACATAAAACTTTATATGAACTTAAATCTTTAGTGACGAGCCAGCGCTGATTATTTTCAACCAGCCAACGTGGCTAGTGGGGGTGGCTGTTTAATCTGACTCCCGCATTGAAAATCCACCCGCTGGCTGGTTGGTGGGTGTTAATGTCGAGCCCTGAATATTATATACAGATAAATAAAGAGGAAACTGACTGGAGAAGAAACAAACCTTTATAACTTTTATAACCCAAAGTTTTGTTCTTTCTTCATCAGTTTATTTATTTATGAAATGCAATAATCCAGGGGTGCCCAAACTCAGTCCTGGAGGGCCGGTGTCCTATAAAGTTTAGTTCCAACCCCAATGAAACATACCTGGACAAGCTAATCAAGCTCTTACTTTATTACTTACTTAGTATGCTTGAAGGCTGGTGTGTTGGAGGAAGTTGGAGCTAAACTATGCAGGACACCAGCCCAACAGGACTGAGTTTGGGCACCCCTGCTATAATCTGTAGAAATGGATAAAGAGCTTTTCTGCGTGTCGACTGTAGTCTAGATAACACACTTAAAAAATGTATAATCTATAATGGGGTGGCGCAGTGAGTAGCACATTCGCCTCACAGCAAGAAGGTCGCTGGTTCGATCCCCGGCTCATTTGGCGTTTCCGTGTGAAGTTTGCATGTTCTCCCTGCATTTGCGTGGTTTTCCTCCGGGTGCTCCGGTTTCCCCCCACAGTCCAAAGACATGTGGTGCAGGTGAATTGGCTTGGCTAAATTGTCCATAGCGTATGAGTGCGTATGTGTATGTGTGGATGTTTCCCAGAGATGGGTTGCGGCTGGAAGGGCATCCGCTCCGTAAAAACTTGTTGGATAAGTTGGTGGTTCATTCCGCTGTGGCGACCCCAGATTAATAAAGGGACTAAGCAGACAAGAAAATGAATGAATGAATAATCTATAATTTTTGGTTTAAAACAGCTCCAGATCCAGCATACAAAAGCAAAGATGCCATTTAGTATATATCAGGAATTTTGTAGCATTAGGCATTAAAACCAACAGCTGCATGACAATATAACCACATCCTTTCACCCCCGACATCTCAGATGTGTGTTAGAGCTGTTAGTGTTGTGTTTGTGACGTGTGTGTGTGTTGTTGTGTTTCAGTCGCTCTCGTCGGAGGATGCAGTCTGTCTCAAACCTCTCCATCTTGGCTATGCTGGTTATGTACCTGCTGTCTGCTCTCTTCGGTTATCTGACGTTTTATGGTATGTCACACACATTCTTCATCGCTTCTTGTGTGTGTTGCCTCTTTGTGAATCACTCCTCAATTGTTAGTCGCTTGGGCAAAAGCATCTGCTTAATGTAATGTAGATGTACATGCCATTACACACTGTTGTGGAGCAGAAACACTTACTGTGTGTTTGTGTCTGTGTGTGTTTGTGTGTGTGTGTGTGTGTGTGTGTGTGTGTTTCAGATCATGTGGAGGCCGAGCTGCTGCACACCTTCACCAAGGTCTACAAGTTCGACACGATGCTGCTGATGGTGCGACTGGCGGTGCTGACGGCCGTGACGCTCACCGTACCTATCGTACTCTTCCCCGTGAGTGACTAAACACACACACACACACATCTGCAGGAAACATGATGCACATCACCCTCCCTCATGCTCATACACCTGAAGTGTGTTCGATGGCATTTTGCTGCTCTTCTACTCATTAATACACTCCTGTAGTGTCTGCAAATGTCCAGCAGATGGTGCAGAACAAATAGATTTTAGAGACCATATAGCAGGGGTGTCCAAACTTTTAGGACACACGCCCCCCCCCAAGTTTGTCCAATTTCACTCGTGCACCCCTCCCTCGAGCCAAAATTATAATGCAAACATCACTCACATATTATTTGCTGCGTTTAAAGTGCATATAGCATTAATTACATTGAAACATAAATACCTCACCTGGTTCAGTGTGATGGCTGAGCCTGTTTTTTGTGAGGACAACTTGCTAATCTGTGGTTGGATTCCTGACATGACTAACAGTAATTAAGACAATAGACTGTTGACAAAGTAACGTTAACGTTCGGTTATGAAGGTTAAAACGATGCTTGTGTAGTTGTGTCGAATTGTATGCACTTATAGGAGTTTTATGGTGCGTTTAAATTACTGTCATTCCCGTCACTCATAGATATATACATCTATACCCGTCACTTATTAACTTTTAGGCACCCAAATAGGTTAGAGTTAGGCTGCTGCTGAGTCATTCTTGGTCCTCCACCAGCCAAAAAAAAAAAACTTGCTCTAGTTCCTTGTGGAAGAATTTTACAGTCAGTGGTGCAGCAGATAAAACAGTGATACTGTATGTAATGTGCGCAAAAGTATATCTTAAGTATATATATATATATATATATAATTTCACAATATATATCGGAGGAAAAAAAAATATCGCAATGTCAATGACATTTTAGACATTTAAAACATCATATTATATTATTCTTTTGTATGTATAATCATAAACATACTTATTTGTAGAGCGAGCATGTTGACTGTTTTCTGCTGTTGATTATTCCTAGTCATTTCTCCCATAGGCAACTGAATCAGAAGTTATAAAGCAATTACAAAAACGAGCGCACTTCTGCAGAATAAGCTCAAAAATATTGTTCATTTTAAAACCCATATTGAGGACTATTGCAGAAGTATATATTCAATGCAGGCAGTTTGAAGCGTGTTTGATTAACATATAAAACCGTTTTTGACAGACAGAGGGCGCTCAAGAGCTTCTTATGTTCTCATCATCAAGCCCCGCCCCTTTTCTCAGTGAGGGCGGGGCGAGCAAAGGGAATGGAATATTACCTGATGCAGTGCAGTGACCTTGCCAAAGATGCAGTCACTGCATGTGGCCACCAAGCAATGTGGCGCTATAAACACACGCAATACCATGCTCAGGTTCAGATCAGGCTTCATGGAGCTTTTGTGATTATTGTTTTTAGTGTTTGGCCTTGGTGTTGCTCTTAAATGTCACGGCCTTTTGTGAGCGAGACGTCTTTGTTTTGTCTGAGAGCCACCGGGACCTTCAGTTTGACTCAAAGAAACAACACACACACATATGAGCTTTAGTCTGATGATGACGATGCCTTCACTCTTTGATCATAATATAATAAAGCCAGTTTGAGCTGTTGAATTAATCACATCATTTAGTGGTTATTTCATTTTTGTATTAATTAAATAATTATTTCATCACTATCATAAAATTACACACAATTAAGCCAACAACAGCCACAACGTTCTGTGTATAGTTATAAAATTAATATTAATAATGCATTTAGGAATAAACAATAATTATTAGATAATAATAATAATTATACAATAAATAATGGCAGAATAATAAATGTAAGAATAAACAAAAATAAATAAATACAATTAAACTGAATAATTACTTGTTGTGCATATTGAAAAACGGCATGCAAAAAACGTTTATTACAGTTTTTATTGATTATTAAAATAAAGCTGAAACAAAATATAGACAATTGTTAGAAGTTGGAAATAAATTAAACATTTTAATGGAAATAAATAGAATAAATCCAAACACTACATTTAAAAGTAAACATAAATGATGATGATGATGATCATAATAATAATATATTTAAAAATAAACAATAAGTAATTCAATTAAATGGAATATTTACACAGCTTGAAATGGATTTCTAGACATTTTGCATCAATTTTAATGTGGAAGGTGTAAGCATTTTTAAAACCGGGATACATTTCTTTGAGAAGCAAATTGACATATGTAAATATATAATCTGAAAAAGCATTTAAAATGAGGTCACTTAAAACCAAAATGCATTAAACAGTGCTTACTCTACATATTTGGGACTTAACAGTGAATAATAATGCACAGTTATCATAATAAGTACATGCAAGGAGGAAAATAAAGTGTTTGCAGTAAAAACTAATTGAAGTTTCTTCCCCAAAACACTTCGTCGGCACATGTACAGTCTGACTGATAGGTGAGGCTGTATGTGATTGGCTGATTTCTGACTGGTTGCCCAGGCGACTCAGATATAAGCTCTGTCCCAGATCCAGGACACTCAGAGCATCCAGAGCGAGTGACACCTGATGCGGAGCGTTCCCAAAAAGCGCATCCAGTGCTGTGAATCAGGAGCACATTAGTATCATTATTACATTTCTTATGAGCAGAGACAGCTGTGGCCTATAAAGGCCTGCAGACGCTCAGATCCTGTTTCACTGAGAGCACACACAGGACATTCAGCTACTTTCACTCATCTGGAGTTTATTACGGATTTCAAGGAACTTTGAGTCTGTATTGTTAAATGTTTTATTTATTTATTTGATTTTGCCATTTTTTGTGTAAATTCTAAACAAATCAATTTGTAAAAAATAATAATTATAATAGGGCGTCATGGTGGCACAGTGAGTAGCACAATCGCCTCACAGCAAGTAGGTCACTGGTTCGAGTCCTGGCTGGCTCTGCGTTTCTGTGTAAAGTTTGCATGTTCTCCTTGTGTTGGTGTGGGTTTCCTCCGGGTGCTCCGGTTTCTCCCAGTCCAAACACATGCTCTATTGGGGAATTGAATAATTGGCCCAAGTGTATGTGTGTGAATGCAAGAGTGTATGGGTGTTCCCAGTTCTGGGTTGTGGCTGGAAGGGTATCCGCTGCCTTTATATTAGTTTATAAAACATGTGCTGGATGAGTTGTCGGTTCATTCCACTGTGGTGATAAAGGGACTAAGCCGAAAATGAATGAATGAATGAATAAATAATTATAATAATCATAGTATAATAATAGTAATAATAATAATTTTAAGCGCTTTGAGTTTAAAAAAAGCACATTACAAATAAAATGTATTATTATTATTATTATTATTATTAATAATACATATTTAATAAAATATTCTGTACAATTACATAGTATAATGACAATAGTTTAATATAACATTTTATAATATTATATATAAATAATTAAAATGTTTGGAGTTAAATTTGACCTTTATTTGACATTTATAAATATTTAAAACAGTAATTTATTTTTAGTTTTAAATATATAAATGATGTATAAAGCTAAATGTGTATTTGTATTTAATGTACTTTACGGTTTAAGTTTAATTTATTTTATAGTTTTTATGTAATATTTTCTGATAGTTTATAGGCCTAAAATTACGTTATTTATATAAATAATAGTGGTTACAAAAATATTATTAACACTATTAGTATGTTTGTTTTTAAATCTATAATATATTAATATAATTTTATTAAATGTGTATTTGTATTTAATGTACTTTAGTGTAGTTTAATTTAGTTTATATAATGTTTTTAACTAATTAAATAATATCTATCAATATATTAAGTTACAAAAAATATGAAAAACACTATATTTATGTTTAGTTTTAAATATTTAATAGATGCTTGTTTATTTTTATTTATTTAAAATATTTAATTTATTTATTTTTCTACTTAGTAGGTACTGCATTTGAATTTAAGCGTACTTCTCGACCGTTAGAAAAGTACATTCAGTATGGTATGAAGGTGATGATACTACATCCGCTATTTTGTCATGATCACATGACATACCCCCGTGTGTTGTGTCACTTCACTCCCATCATGGGATATTGTAACGCCCATATGATGCGCACTTCAGAATTTCGCTGGTAATAGTAGTAGAGCCGGGTACTTCTCGCATACTGTTTTTCCAATTCTATGAATTCGGACATACTACTCAGCTGTCACTGTTTTGAGTGTACTATATAGTATGGAAGTATGCGGTTTTGGACACAGCCTATTAGATTTACTATTTAATGTACTTTAATGCATAATTACCAAAGCAACTGTGGAATCACCACAACAGATCAATTACTATAGTTGTTTTATTACCATGGCAACAATGGAATTATCCCAACAGATCATTCACTATATGTATTACCATGGCAACTATAGAACCATCACAACAGATCATTCACTGTAGTTGTTTTATTACCATGGCAACTATAGAATCTTAACTACAGATCAATTACTATAGTTGTTTTATTACTATGGCAAATAATAAATAATTGTATTTTGTAATTTTTTAAATATATATATATAAATATATATATACTTATATATTTTTTTAAACAATTAATTTATAAATAATTAATACATTACTATTACTAATGTTGTTTAAATATTTCAGTAAAGATTTAAAATATTATTGCTAATATCTGAAACAGTATTGTAGATTTAAAAATATGAATCTAATATCATTATCTTAACGTTGACCTGTGATTATGGTGGTCTGTAGGCTTGACCCTGAGCTGCTTGGCTTGACAAACGACACTGTGATTGATGTGTGGTCAGTGTAACCCAGGGTCAGAGGTCACGTCAGGGTCAGTCACATGATCAGCCATGAATGATGATAAATTCACATGTGAATGAGAGAAAAGCAGTGAGAGCTGCTGATGTGAGCTGTGTTTCTGAACAGAACTGGTGTTTTGTGTGTGTGTGTGTTTGTGTGTGTGTGTGTGTGTGTGTGTGTGTGGTTTTTTCGTCTGTGTTTGGGAGCTTAGAATCTATTTCTAGAGTGGTTTCTGTGAAACTAGCATGCTAAGCTG